AGACTGACACTAATGCAATATTATCGGGGACAAGTTCGCTTCAGTGGACCTTAAAGATTCTGCACTATGCAAAAATAGAAGGGAGCTTCTTCAGGTTAATAGGCCATTTACCCGGTGGCTGTTTATGGGTCTTAGGCTGTGCACAAATGGACTAATTGTCCCCACCCCATAGAGGTTTAATTTATCAAAATCCCTCTTGATCAAGCTTTTCTCAGGGGTTGTCAGCACATTCAAACCTGGGGCCCTCCTCTGGTTCCTCATTGGTTTCTGTTATTTGGCACCAATTTAGCCTGCCAAAGAAAATAACACTTACATTAGTATTCAGTATAAATGAATGTGCTTAATTCAAAATTGCATCCATTTTCTGTCAAATTAAGTGCATTCCATACAAAATATTGGCTGTATTCCACCCTTTGCAATGCCTGCTGATGAGCACTGTGTACTTACTTCATGTCTACAATTCTACAGGGATCTGCACATTAATCACTGGTCTACTATTACAACAAATAAAGATATTATTCATTATAAATGTTTTAATCTATGCATTTTTGGAAAAGCAGTGCTAGTAGGGGGGATCTTGGTCATATATAACTTCCCCATATAGACTATGAAGCATGTTAAGGTATTCAGCAACTGGTAAAGAAAATCTAGAGTCATCTAAAAGACCACCACATCATGGTGCTACTTGCAATCATACTTAACATTTCAAACCACTCAATATTTTAAATAAAACTATGAGTGCATACCTTAGCATTCTTCTTAAGGTTCTGCCATTTGTCTGTGACCTCCTTTATCGAATGCCTGATCTTGCTCAAGGCAATGACCATCCCTGAAACTTTGCCCCATGTTTTTTTTCTTGCCTGCATGCTCGGGATTATGTCAGCAACACCAAACAGGTCTTCCTTCTTTAGCATCTAGCAATGCCTACATTGCTACAACAGCCTTTAAGGCTTTGTTGCTCCACTGTTGTTGGGATGCCCTCCCGACGTGAAAGGCGCTATACAAATGTAATTGGTTGTTGTTGTTATTGTTGCTGAGTCAATTTTCCACTCTCCATTGTCAGCACAGCGCCAAATTGATATAAGATGAGGTTACTGGCAAGATACCGCTCAGTGCTCTTTAATGGTTAACTTTCCCATTAGCTCGAACTACGCGGTAAATCTAACAGTGTGGAGGCAAACACAGCATGCTGTGGGAATGTGGCCGCACTCTGTAACTGGGGCCAATACGTGCTTCAAAGTGTGAATCCTATTTTACAAAAAGCTATATATCATCTAACACCAAGAAGGCAGCTCAGTGTCTCGCGTTCGAGCTTTCATCAATGTTACACCTATGCCAGCTTCTTGGTGGTATGCGATACTAGCCCTGGGACAATTCCTCCTCCTGCATTCTATCTGGTCACTAATTGGTCTCCACTTGGAAATTCCCTGCATCATCAGTCATTTTATTTTTGTATGACATTTTCTCTTCTTGTAATAAGTTAAGGTCAGATCAGATGAAAGATGTGAAATTTGAATACATACACCCACCAGCATTTTGGCATTTTGAAGCGTGGGGGTTACAAACTGTTGGCAACTTCCAGGTGCCAGTTATAATCCGAACTGAAAATAGGAAATGAATAACCAAATAACAGATCAATCTTTCAAAAATAAGTGAAAAATACAATACACCATAGACAATCCAAATCTAGATAGAATTTGTTTCCATGTCTCTTAAGGGTTATTTATTATTTTGAAATTGCACAATTTGGGAATAATAAATAATCCTAGCCTTTTATATACAATAGAACTCTGTTATAACACATCTCATTATAATGTAAGCTGCTTATAGTGCAATTGAGGTGTGGATCCCATTAACTTATCCCCCAAGAAAAGGGTTAGGGTTAGGGTTACTGACCGAGAGATCTGCAGCTACCAGATGAGTGAAGCTGACACACAATTTAGTGTTATGGAGAATATAAATTTCCAGAAATTGTATTCTGTGAATAAAAACTAGGTACAAAGGGGCAGCTGAAACTAAGCAGATGAAGAAAAGAACACTGTGTTCTAACAAGCAGTCTCTGCTTTTCGAACAAACAAACCTGGGCATTGTACATACTGGCTCCAAGAACTACTGTCTAGAAGAAACCAACCCTTCACAACTGGTATAACTTCAGCTCAAACGGGCGTTATTTCTATTCAAAATAAAGCGCTCAAATAGATGTTAACAGTACAATAACCCTCTGCCTTCTTGGGTGTTGCAATCTGCCAAACGTCTTAGAAAAAAAACAGCCTGCAGGTCAAATAACAACAGAAGTTCCGGATACACTTTTCTTGGCATAAAAAGAGATTCAAAACCTTAGACCCATAGAACATTCAGTTTGAGTTATTTTATCCATGTCCTAGAATAACATTAATTACTTTACCCAATAACATTCAAATCAAATATACTTGGCTTAAATCCTCTATGAAAATATACTTGGTTTACAGCTGCTTCAATATAGCAAACATATCCTTCGATATAACATACATCCTAAATATCTCATTGCTAAATATTTACTTACAGCTGTTGTATTTCACAGAAGACATCTGACCTATAATCCTCCAGCACTTGATGAACCACAAAGAGAAAAGCTAAGCTTGAAAGCACACTAATCATTTATTAAGAATTTCCATCTGAAAGAACTTTCAAGTTAAAACAGCATAGTATGTGAATGTTTTGCTAATTTTGAATATTTATAATACCAAAGTCATTTTTCAAGGTGCTTGGTAGCGGGGATGGTGGAGTGACTCATACACATAGAATTTCTTAAGTACAAGTTGTCCAGTTTAGGTCCTTTCCTGAATTGGCATGAGTCACAGTACAATTTTAAAAAATCTCATAGAAATGTCAAAAGAATGTGTATGTTAGAATCCAAGAGAATGTTTAAACATTTTTAGTACATAAGTATACATACACTATTGGCTGGAAATATCACTGTGTTAAGATGTCTCAAAGCGCTTCACAAATATACTGGAAAGTGAATTGACTGTATATTTTGTAGGCAAAACATATTGGCTCTACTGATTCAAAGGGATGATGCAGATTTAATTACATCCAGAAATATCCGCACTCCACACACAAAATACCAGTCAGTTATTTTCAGAACAAAGGTATTTGGCTTTATTTTTTGCACTTTTTGACCTCTGCAGAACATATAGAATGCAGAGGCCACACATGGGCATATGTGTGACGTGACAGTGACATTCTGGTGTCTGTCTATAAAAGTCTTAATTCCTAACAGTGACAATTAAAAATAAGATTACATACATTCTATACGCAAAATGTAGAACATGAAGGGGAAGCAAATTAGCATTCATTCATACTAGAATCATTCATGCAACCCATTACAGTTATACTGATCATCAGACAGACAATAAGAGACAGATTATAGGGGAACCAAGATGGTATTGCCAGAGAGAGTATGTTCATTAGGTATTATTCAGTAGTTCACAGTCGAGAAACATTCTATTAGAATGTTCCATTCTATAAGACTTTTCTTGCACTAATTCAAGCTGAAGTAAATTGGCATTGGCCGCCCATTCTTCATATATAAGTGCAGACAGTGTGTATTACCAGTTTACTCAATCATCAGGTGTTGAGGTCAATCAAATGCATTGCATCCTTGCTGAAATCACTTAACTCAGCCTAGGTATGGTACCAAACCTCAGACATTTGGTGCCTTGTCGTTTATTTTCATACTAGACCTTTCCTGGCCACCACACGTGCCTATTTTAGGAGTCCTGTAGCTCAGTGGATAGAGCACGCGAGAGGCTTGGGTTCGATTCCAGGCAGGGCGAAACATTGGGCACGTTTCCTTATTCCACACGCCTAATAATAATCCCTCAAGAAAAAAAACAATTATCATTTGGTGACTCAATCCACGAGTGATTGTGGGATACCGCTGTGGGCAATTGGCTGCTGCGTTTTGAAACAAAATATACAGTCAATTCACTTTACTGTATTTTCTGTGAAACGCTTTGAGACGTCTAGAAGACGTGAAAAACACTATATTAAATGCATGCACTATTATTATAATTATTATATTTTCTTATGTTTATAAAATTATAAAATGATTTGATCAACTGAATATTGCCATTCCTAATTGTTTCTAGTGTCAGCTGTAACTCCAGTTGTCTGCTGATAACCCTTCAAACTCTATGTTCTCTAGGTTTTTATTTTGTACATACTACAGTATCTCAGCAATGTTTCAGGGAAGAACCTGTCCGTACTGATTCAAACCGATTATGCAGATAATTACTCCCAGAAATACCCTTCAGTCCTCACAAAATTCGAGTTAGTTATTTCCAGTACAAAGATATCCTGCTTTATTGGTTTCACTTTTCAATCTCTGCAGAACATTTTCAATTCGACCTCTACAGAACATATAGAATGCAGAGGCCACATATGATTGTGTGTGACATTACAATGACATTCTTTGTACAAATTCCTACTTAATTCCTAATCACAATAATTAAAATTAAGATTAAAGTTTTTGAACAGTCTCAGTGGTTTCATTAGTAAAGCTAGTGTCCAGTGTGGGATGGCAATAGAGGCACTAGAATTAACCACAAAACCCTTATGATAATGGAACAATTGCCTGCACCACTCTTCGCTTGATTTTATCACGTTAGACCTTGATTTTAATTTTCATATATATATAAATATATACACAGATTATACATATGTTAGGTGGGGTTCAGGTTGTAGGAAGGTCTTTTTAAGTTTTAAAAGCTACTGCATTGCAATTTTACTCCGTTTGATATTCCCTATCTTATTACTTTGCTTCCAAACACCAATTATCTTGAACCCTGTGGGAGCCATTCAGATATTTAAGTCATACTAAAAAATGATGGATGATGGATGAAGTTTGCTAATGTAGGCATTAAAAAGAGGTACTGTACGCAAGAATGCACAACACAATATTTTCTCCGAATGTACAGTACTTCTCTATCGTATATTTAGTCTTAATGTTCATTTACCTGTTGGATCTCTTTGGGTAAAGGCTGAATGGGAATATGACGTTCCATGATGATTTGGTTTGGGTCAAGTTCATACCTGTCCAACATAGCCAAGAAATTGTGCTCAAGGTTATTACCTGTGACATTGAACAACATATTACAATCAAAATATGCAACAAAAAAATTAAATATATTGAAAGGCTCACAAACTAAAAAGGTATTGTGTGCACTGACGTAACTCTGAGAATGACAGTGAATTAATTGAAAAAACGTTAGAAAATGTTTCTTTATGACTGTGGTGAATCTTTTCGAGACAACATATTCTGGCACATCTCTGTGACATGTTGGAATGTTTTATAAAATTCCTACAAAATAGTTACCATCACGGAAAATGTCAGGCAGAAACTACAGCCGAGACTGCGGTCATTGCAAGGAATTGGACATATTTCTTGTAAACTGTTCCAAATGTTAATTACCACTACTACTACTAATAATAATCCTTACATTTGTTATAGCGCCCTATCAAATCTTTGAGACATCTCAAAACGCTTCACAGAATATACTGAAAAGTGACTTAACTGTATATTTTGTGGGCGTAACATTAAAATTGAGGCCCTAGTTTTCCTGATCAGCAATAACGTAACGTAGTTATTACCAGACTTTGGGATGTCCTAAGTGATACATTAGCAGAATAGTTAAAACACTAGTCAAGATCTGGAGAGGCATCTATAAATTCATCTGCCTAATCATTAAACCGATTTTTGCACATTTCTCAGCAGAAGGTAGTTATCCTGAGTTGCTCTTGACAACACTGGAAATCTGTTGGCAAATTCCATTCAAAGCCGTCACCAGATGTAACGGTTTCACGTCCGCAGCAGCTGTCAGGAAATACCAAGATTTGATGCTGTAATATCCTGCCATTTTTCAACAATTTTACAGTAGGTAGCCTTTTTCTATTTATTGAAAAGATTAAAGCCGGTTAAAGAAAATGCCCTCATCAGCTTCATTTAAATACGATAAAAGGTCAATAAATCATGGCTTAGGAAAAGTTCACTGGGAGCTGCTATGGAACATGACAACAAGACAACAAATTCCATGAAAAACAACCTAATGTAGTGATTGATCACTGCATGATCTGAAAACATTGCAGTAAAAGGCTTGGTAAAGTGAGTATTTTGTGGGAAATCAATACGCACAACTCAAGTCAGATCAATTCCATGCAAGAGCCTCACACCAAGCACCAGCATGAGAAAGAAAATCATAACAGTTGAAGCTACGGAAAATTGGATTTTGTTTAACCAATAAACAGCAGATAAATGTTTTTTTGCCTATCAAGCAAGGGCATCAATAAATTCTATGAACTATAATAGCAACAGAAAGTATCACAAACACGAGTGGCACGCATCAACTGGTAAGTAGTAAGATTTGTTGCACAACTTTATATTGCTATTATCTAAAACAAATATGGGAGATCAAAGTTGCTCCTAAACTACTGAGATTGCTTTAAAATATCAAGCAACACTTATCTGCAGCTCTCAGTACTGAATCCTGCAAGCACAGAAAAAGACTGACGCCCTGGGCAAAACATGAACCCAACACTCTGGTGACAGCATCCAAACACCAAACGTTATCACCCTCATTTAGACCTCGTTCCCAGCAAATCACTTCAGTTTGGGGGCAATGTGACAAACTGCCACAGTTGGCGAGCTCCCCTGAAGACTCTCCCAAAAAAAACTACAATACTATACCAGCGGACAATGCTCTAACCTAAGCTTCCATCATTGAATTATTATCCAATGAAGATTGGTTTCACCTCGTGCCTTTTTTTTATTGCAACCAATGCATCAAAGTAAATATTGTCAACCCCACAGGTGACTATAATGAGAACTGCGCCTCTTTCATTTTAAGGGTGCAAGACGGGGGCAGAGGGGGGAACCTCATTCATGCCACAGATACATTTAACTGTTTCTGTCCTCATAATAACAATAGTAATAATCATCTTGCATTAGGTATGAACACTTTCCACATCATAAGGACGTATGCAAAGTGTCTTTGGAGACCGCTGAAGTGCACGATCAGTGCTTCTCGCTCGCTGGTGCCAGAAGCACAGTGTGGCAGCTCATCTCCTATTACGGGAAGCCTTTCTCTTACTATCTGCAGAAACGCATAACAATAATAAATAACGAGTACAAAGAGGACAATAACAATCCTTGCAATAATAATAATCCTTGCGTATGATACAGCGCCTTATCACATCATCGAGCCGTCTCAAAGCGCTTCACAGAATATACTGTAAAGTGTAGCGACTGTGAGTTCTGTGGGCGAGAAGTGGCAGCCGATTGCGCACAGCAGCGTCCCCCACAAACAATCGTGGATTGAGCGACCAAATTATTATTATTTATTTATTTAAATGATCAATTAGCAGGTGATAAACCCAACTGGAGGGATCATTACCCCCGATTCGACTGACCATCGGAGTAAGGTTACGCCCTGCCCTGGAATCAAACCCGAGTCCTCTCACTTTTGAGGCGAGTGCTCTCTCTATCCACAGAGCTACAGGACTCCAGGTTTTAAACGAATAACAATAATAAATATTCCCACAACGAGAGCAATGGTAAATCCTTGCATTTGATATAATAACATAGCGCCTTAATACAGCCTGGCCCGAAGGGCTTGGCATGGTACTTTAGCGTAGTGACTGTGCGCGGCGGGGAGTCCCGCAGCTCGGCGGTCAGTGCGTTCATCTCGCGAGCGAGAGGACCTGGGTTCGATCCCCGGGCGGGTCGGGGCGTTCGAAACGTTGGGACAAGTTTCCTTACTCCACGCCTCTGTTTACCAGCAGGTTGGCGGAGCGCTCTTCCCGGGGGGGTGGTGGGGGCGGTGGGGGAGGGGGATAATTCCTTGGGGAAAAAATGCGGTCACTTCAATCCTTGACCGTTGGTGGGGACGCCGCCGCCGGGCGCAATTGGCTGCCGCGTCTCGCCCGCAAAATAAACAAGTCACGACGAGACTTTACGGTGCTGTCCCGTGAAGCGCTTTGAGAGACGTCTGGAAGGCGCCGGGTCACACCCCAGGACTATAATTATTGCTATCAGTGATATCATTAGCTATTATTATCATTATTACTGTTAGTTATTACGACTACTTATTATTGTTGCTACTGTTATCATGATTACCATTGCTGTTATTGTTATTATTATTATTATTATTGCTGTCATTATTACTAGTTATTATTGCTGCTATTGCCACGGTTATTACTGCTGTCGTTGCGGGTATGATGGCTATTACCATGGATATCACTGCTGTCGCTGTCGCTGTGCGGGTGAGGGTCGGGTCCCGGCTGCCTTCTCGAACATTCCTTCCACTCTTGGGGGCCGCAGCCAACACAAACACACAGACAGACAGACAGAGAGAGAGAGACACTTACACACAATATAATATATATTTATACACACAAACCCTCTCTCCCCGGGGTGGGGGGGGGGGGGAGCGAATCAGGCTCCAGAGCCGGGGCCTAGGCCTCGTTTGTGGTTACCACGGGAACCACGCAAGCCCCACCCACCCGACGTCAGGGTGACGTCAGCGCGTCGTGGGCGGGGCGGGGAGGGGGCGGGGCGCCGCACCTGTCAATCACTCCATCTTTTGACACTCTCTCTCTCTCTCTCTGTGATGGTTCAGTTGTTCAGGTTGGGGGTGGGGGTGGGGGGGGGGGTTTGGTTGGGGGTGGGGTGGGGGGGGGGAGTGGGCTGCAAAGCACCCGTCGAGGTTTTCTGTCGCAACGTTAGCTCTCGCGACGGCCGTATTTGTCCGTCGTGGAATCGCGGAATTGCACAGCAATAATAATAATAATAATAATAATAATCCTTGCATTTGATATAGCGCTTTTCACGTCGGGAGGACATCCCAAAGCGCTTCACAGAATAGACTGTAAAGTGAATTGACTGTATATTTGTGGGCGAACGCGGCAGCCAATTGCGCACAGCGATGTCCCACAAACAGTCGTGGATTGAAAATGACCAATTTATTATTGTTTTGGGTTTTGGAGGGATTATTATTAGGCTCTGTGTGGAGTAAGGAAACTTGCCCAAGGTTTCGCCCTCTGCCTGGAATTGAACTAAGGTCTCTCACTTGCAAAGCGAGTGCTCTAACCACTGAGCTACAGGACTCCACAATGCGCAATGCGCGACGACGACAACGACGACGACAACAACAACAAAATTAGCGCCTTTCACATCGGGAGGACGTCCCAAAGCGCTGGACAGGCAGAGGGTTACGGCATTCACGGAGAGGCCATTCGGCCTGTCCCGTGTTTGTGCCGCCTCATTGAAAAGAGCTTCCAAATCAACCCCACTCCCCCCGCAGCCCTGATCAACCCCACTCCCCCCCTCTCTCCCCATAGCCCTGATCAACCCCACTCCCCCCGCGCTCTCCCCCCATAGCCCTGATCAACCTCACTCCCCCGCGCTCTCCCCATAGCCCTGATCAACCCCACTCCCCCGCTCTCTCCCATAGCCCTGCAAACTTGTCCTCCCCAAATAATTATCTATTTCTCTCTTAAAAGTTGTTATCAAATCGGCTTCCACCGGCCTCTCAGGCGATGTATTCCAGATCCCAACAGCTCGCTGTGTGAAGACATTTCTCCTCACCTCCCCTCGGTTTCTTTTAACAACTATTTTAAATCGGTGTCCTCGGGTTACCCACCCACCCGCCAGTGGAAATAATCTCCTCATAATTTTGAAAACTTCTGTTAAGTCTCCCCTTAACCTTCTCTGCTCCAAGGAGAATAATCCTAGCTTCTCTAACCTCTCCTGATAGCCGAAGTTATGTCATTCCCAAATCAACATAGCGTCCTTATAATCAATATTGTCCTTGCAATTGGTACAGTCATTTATTAAGTCATTTGAAAACGTCTCGTAAAGTTTCACAGGATTTACTGTAAAATGTAATGACTTTTAAGTATTTTGCGAGCATCATTTCATATTGAAAACGACACAGTGGTGCAAGAGTATAATCAGGTCACTTCTGTACAGTATTAGAAGGAAGAGCACTGAACTCCTTAGGGTCTGATAGCACCCAGCACACCAGAGGAATAACCATTTATCTTTCTGCTCCAGATGCTGTTGCCTTCGGCTGTAGGATGAAGACCCCACCTAGGGAGATGTCAGTAACTGCCTCCAGGGCCACTTCATCACCTCATTTAGTTAACCGCCCTCCTTCCAATCTATTCTCTCTCTTTGAATTACAGCTCTTATCAAGAGGAGTTTAGTTTTACATGCTATTTTGCATGAATTTCCACCGGTGGAAACTAAGCCGAACCCATTTACAAGGTTAACTTCTTCAATTCCGGTTTGCTAAGCTGTTAAAATTAGTCTCATTTGATGGCTTAAGTTAGCACTGTGACCACTCACTGCTAACTACGGTGCATATTAAATGCTAAAAGTGCTTAACACCCCCACAGGATAATTTTCCACTTGCTTGCGGTTTCTGCTCTTCATGCAGAGGACTTAACATTTGTTGGTTTGTAGTGATGCTCGCACACCACACTGGTTAAACACCTATTGTTGAAGCGAGGTGCTTATTATGAGTGGTACCCATGTTTGTTTTGGAGATACTATAAACATTTAGCAGATTTTGTTAAAATAGTAATCTTTGCATTTGATATAGCGCCTTATCACGTCGTTGAGACGTCTCAAAGCACTTCACGGAATATACTGTAAAGTGGATTCACTTATATTTTGTGGGTGAAATAATAATATTAATCCACTTATATAATAATATTAATCCACTTATATAATAATATCAATCCACTTATATAATAATATTAATCCACGTATATAATAATATTAATCCACTTATATAATAATAATATTAATTCAATGTATTATTATCGTTAATACTACTATTATTATTAATTAAACAGAACAGAGTTGGCCGAGTGGAAGGATTGACTGGGGAGGAGGTCCCAGAAGTAGGATAGGCCAAGGCTGTGGAGGCATTTGAAATTAAGAGACGAGGATCTTAAAGGAGGCTAAAGAGCCAGTAGAGCCAGGCGAGGTTGTGCTTGATCAACCTGTTGCTCAACGGTGCAGGAGAGAAGACGGGCTGCAGAGTTTTAGATGATTTAGAGCTTGTTGTTGGTACATCTGGGAAAACCCATTATATTTTCAGAACATTTGGTGCCAGTGTGCACAGATTTATGCCAAGAAGTTGAGTCATTCCGTTTAGCAAGTGATATTATGTAGGCATGTCTGACGTGGAAGAGTTTAGCCTTCAGGCCTTTGGGTGATGTTAACTTCAACTCTGTTGTTGCACTGCTGTTCTTTAAAGTACTCCAAGTATTTGTGGCTGATTTCATGTTGTGCGATCTGGATATTTTCCCACTTTGTGTTGCAACTCCACGATGTGCCACTCAGGTCAAATTAGAGCACAATAATGAGCCAGAATTAATTTAACAATAATAATAATAAACATCCTTTAGATGTGAATGTGAGGTACATAAGAACATCCAAATTGCTAGACGAAAGAAGACCAAGGTCCATCCAGTTTGCCTTCCACCACCCTGGCAGTCACATACATATGTCACATCCCAAACTATATACTGTATCCCAAGATATAATTTCCTAAAAGAAATCTATGTAGTTCAGTTTTGAAAGAATCAAAACTTTCTGCTTCCACTGTCTCCCTAAGAAGCCTGTTCAATACATTTACTACTCACTCATTGAAATAGTGTTTCCGCAGAATATCTGGGATACTTGCTTCTGGATTGAACTTGGGTAAATGCTGTATGAATGTGTCACTCAGTTCTTCCACATTTTTTTGCCCACCTTACTTTCTAATTTTTTTTAACATTTTCTCTGATTTCCAAGTTCTTGAGCTGGAAATGATATATTCTGGGTTTATTTCAACAATTCTCTCCATCGGTTGAAGGATATCTCAAAGCGCTTCACAGGATTTACTGTAAAGTGTAGCGACAGCGTATTTTTGTAGGCAAATGTGGCACCCAATTTTCACCCAGAAATGTTCCACAAACGCCCATTAAATGAATCACCAATTTTATCTGGGGGTTTGTTGCCCAGAACACCAGGAGAAACTCCTTTCTCTTTTTTCAGTACTGCCTTGGGATCTTTATCGTCCATCTAAACAGACAGATGGGACCTCAGTGTAACATTTCTGGAGTATCAGGCTAGATTATGAGCTCCAAGTCCAAATGTGTAGCTTGAATCGACAACCTTCTGACTCAGAGGTGAGAGTGCTACACCTGAGCCAAACTGATACCTTTATCATGGCTAATTCTGTAACTTGGGAGGTTGCCATAGCCATTAACCTCTCCCAACAGGTTGAGAAAGCGATGACTGGGTTGGGTTATTTGCTAGAGGATGTTACTCTGATGGAATCCATTAAAGTGTGCTAAAGTGTAGTATTATTGGAAATCTTCCAGATGGACAAGCAAACATGCAACATCATTCATCCCAGCGACGGCGAGAGATGAGAAGGCCCATCTCAACAATGGTTATTATCCAAAACAAAACAATCCAACTGTAAATAAACCATACAAGAAATCACAAACAATGAGTCAGAAAAATGAGTTGCAACCCATTATCCCCTGCTTTGGTTTATATCCTTGTCTCAGTAAATATCACATAAAATTGAAGCAATTGCTCATTTGCTTCATGGCAATTTGCGTGACAGGGCTGAGCACGAATTAGCTGCTACGTATAGGCTTACAAAGAGTCACCGCAGTTTACAGTAAATCCCATGATTTAATGTGAAATGTTGTGAGACCTTCCCAACATGAAAGGCACGGTATCAAATGCAATGATTGCTTCTATCATTATTTTGAATGCACAAAATATTCTTGGAAATATCTAAACTTTGACTGTCCTTTTTCAAATTCATCAATTTATCATTTGATATTCCAAACTCGGGATTTTTGTACCTTTATCCGCTTCCTTTTCCAATAAAGGAAGCAGATAAAGGTGCAAAAATGGCTCTTGGCTCTTGCCAACCTGCACTTAACACCTGGAGGGGAGGGACACATCCTGCTAACCTCACAGCAGGCTGGAGGAAGTGAAGGAAGGAAGAAGCGAGGGAGACGAGTTTTCCCGAATCGGGTTTAACAATATCTCCTAAAGCCACACGTCTGCCGAGAGAGTAATGGAACTTATGGTTCCAAGCTGCCAACCTGCTGGACTTTGAACAGAATACTTGGGGCCAGGACTATTTATGACTGTTCCAGGAAACTGACCCGAGCTGAAAGATCCAACTCGGGATCACTTGCCAATTAAACCACAAATTCTGTTCTCAGTCTATTTCAAAATATAAATTATTGGTCTTGGCTATGAAACCAGCTGCCACTGGATTTGGTCATGTTATTCCTTCTCTCCATGCCCACTGCATCCATGTCTGCAGTCTCTCTTCCCAACCATGTCTGCAGTCTGTCTATGATTACAGTGGTGAGACATCACCTTGTTGACGAGTATCAACAAGATAATAATAATCCCTCCAAAAAAACCAAAAAACAATAATAAAAAAAAATTGGTCATTTTCAATCTACGACTGTTTGTGGGACATTGCTGTGCGCAATTGGCTGCCGCGTTCGCCCACAAATATACAGTCAATTCACTTTACAGTGTGTTCTGTGAAGCGCTTTGGGACGTCCTCCTGACGTGAAAAGCGCTATATCAAATGTGAGGATTATTATTATTATTATTATTATTACAAAATACTCCTGTTTTTCAGCACCACCTCCATGCTAATTACAAACATGGCTTCTGATCTTCCTCCTCATTCAAACTCTGTGACTCTCCCAAACCAGATGGACTGGGCTCAGAAACTCACTACCTGAGGAATCGCACAGTTAATCACGCCATCTTCCTCCACTGCTTCTTCTTCCTCATCCACCTGAGTGGGCCCACACTCGCATGATTCGAGTCTAACTTAACCACCCGGCAACAATACATCTCAGGAAATGTTTTTTCCTCCCGCCCACGCCCGGTCTTTCGCACTAGAACATTGAAACGTTCTGCTCGCCAGACGGAGATTTGGCCCTCGTTGATTAATGTAAAATATTGGATTGAATCCTTTAAATTTCTCGGTTCAGAAAATCTTGTGCTTTCTTTGAACTAAACCCAATTGCTGTGAGGTACAGAGCTCGCTGCTGACTCATCCTTTATGCTTTATTATTAAATGAAATGTGGTTCCACGCACAGAGAAAACTGCCGGCAAAAAAGATATCCAAATGTTAGATCAGGGTGACCTCTCCAGATTGACAGGTGCTGGTGTGACCTGTAGCTGTTTATCTCACGGGCTTATAGAAACCATGAGAAGAAAATGTATGAAGATCAGAATGAGATTTGGAAGCGATTTTCAAAGTGATTTGAAAGCTTTTTTTTTAAAGATTTTTTTTTCCATCCATCAACACACAACGTGAGATGATTATTCCTGAGGCACAATAGATGCAACTTTGACCTCAACGCACATGGTGCAACTGATATCTGTGCAATATTGTGTGATTTTCCTCCATCCTAGTCAGCAATTCAAGGCTAAAGACGCAAGATGTCTTCACCTACACACCGTGGCCGTGCTAACATGCACAGAGTGCTTAATGACGTCTCGGAGTGCTTTATTGTGGTGGGATTCAACGCTGAGTAAGAGAGTAGGTGAGGGATGGAAGTGATGATAATAGGCAGTCAAAGAGATCAGTTTAAAGTGAGATTTAATGATAGACAAACAATAAATAAAAAACAAAACACCTGATCTTATTCTATTGGTAAAACCCATTTTTTGTCATGATTCAGACTCTCATCTAACATCACAACAGTAATCTCTGCAAAATATATTCCTCTTTTTGCAAAGTGCTGTAATCAAACGAAAATCATACTCATTTTGGGAAGATTGGCACTGGGTAAGTGCCAATGTGTGAATGCAGAAATCTCTGCTATCTTTCGCTTCGTATTTTTGCATAGAATTGTACAGAAATACAACACGGATTGCGAGTATTTGAGGAAATTAGCAAGCTATCACTTGTGTGTCAATTAGAGGGCTTTTGCCCAATGTTCCAATTGCATTTGTTCGCCTGTAACCAGTGCACCTTTTTTTAAACTAAATTCTCACATGTGGATTCACAGCAATTGAGGGTATTTAAATATAGTATTTTTAAATTGAATCTGGCCGCATAAAAACACATTAACGGTGCCAGCGAGAAATACAAAATTGAATGGGACCAGAGTAGAGCTCCAGTGTAGAGTGTAACTATATTTAATAAGGGCAGGCTATGTGGTTTTAGCTGGTTAGACTCCAGCGCACGCTCTGGGCTCCCCCCAAGCCTCGACTCTTGCCAACCTGCGCCTAATACTTTCTGGTATTAGGTCAGTAGGATGTGTCTCTCCAGGGAGAGAGAGAGTGCGCATTCCATTGCAACAATCTATCTCTGGGATTTCCAAGTGGAGGTGGGATACTCGGAAATCTCAGCTTGGTTTGGAGACTCTCAAGCACGGTGATGAGTTTCCGCATGTGTCAGGCACCTGGCTGAACCCGAACCCACCCCCCACCCACCCCCCGCCCCTCACTAAAAAAAAAGAAATGCATTGCAATAGATTCCGATGTACGAGCACCACAAGTCAGGAATAAGCGGATGGGGGGGGGGCGGAGTTGGGGTAGAAAACAAATATAGTCCAAAATGGAGCATATGTGGCAGGCAACCAAGGAATATTGAATATGTTCCATTACTGTGTTTATAATGGATTGAGCCTGAAAAGACCATATGTTCCAGGGTAACTGTAAATAGACCAGGCACACCTCTATTATGCGGAAGCTACACTCCGGGGTAACCCCTTGGTCTACATCAGCATCATAATAATAATAATCCTGATTTGATCTAGTACCAGATCATGTTAAAATAAATAATAGAACAAAAGTACACAGGCTTAAAGTTACACAGGGCAATTTCAGGACAGATATCAAAGACATTTTTCTTTACCCTGAAGATAATTTATGACTGGGCAAGCTTGCCAGGAATGTTGGGTAGAGGTCAGGACACTCATTTATAAAAAGAACCTTGTTGTTGTGGTGAGGAGACGGTAGGGTGGATGTACTAGAAGGATGAGATCAGATGAGCCGAAGGGTTTTCTTTATCCGAAACAATCTGTGATCTTGTGAAAGCACTTCACAGGTTTCTGTAAAGAGAAGAGAGATGTAGCAGCCAAGTTGCTCACAGCAACATCCCCTAACAGTTATGAAGCGAATGACAATGTTTTTCCCTCTGGGGAATATGGCCAGGACACTGGGGGAAACTTCTGTCTTTCTTTCTTTAAGAAGTGCCATGACACCGACTGAACCAAAATACACACACGGTCACTTTACGGTAAATCCCGTGAAATGCTTTGAGATGTTCCCTCCGACATAAAAGGTGCTGTATCAAATGCAAGAATTATTAATATTAGACGCACAGAGGAGCTCCAACTGTCAAGCAGTTTCAATTCACTGATACAATAATAATCCTTGCACTTGATATAGCGCCTTATCGTGTCTGCGCAGCATCTCAAAGCGCTTCACAGAATATACTGTGAAGTGAATTGACCGTATATTTTGTGGGCAAAACGTAAGATGGAATGGGTTCTTGGCTCGGTGGGTAGCACTCTTGCCTCTGAGTCAGAAGGTTGCAGGTTCAAGCCTCATTTTGGTATTTTGAGCTGCGCGATGCTGTATTTTTAAAAAAAAAACACACACAAAGGAGGTTTCACATCTAGCGTTCTGCACCCAATCTGTTTGGCCATTGAAACGGAGCGACAGCAAAATTTCACCAAAGTTCCCTGCTCATACGATCAGTTGCAAAATGATTTCGATATGGTTTTAAAATAAAACGTTCCTGGGATTCACCTGAGACTTAAAAGGATCGCGAACTGCAACTGCATTTCAACCAAAGTAACAATGACAATCATACACAAGGAATTAATTGGCAGACCTGCCCGACTTTCATTTACCAACTAGTTAAATGATTGTGCAGAACCTTTATGATCTCATCCGGGGCTTTCATATCAATTGGGTGTATTTGCTAAGCAACAGAGAACGACCTAAAGAGACACCTTTTGGAGGTAGCAATCTTCTGTTGTGATCAGCCACATGTGTCAGACACATAGAGAAACCCGTCGGTGTGCTTAAAAGTTCTAACGCTTAAGACCCTCCTCTTTGACCGTGCCTTGGGTTACCCTCCTGCCCCTACCCTCCCCACCCTCCACCCCTCCTGTTCCCAACCCTCACCTCAGGTGCAGATCCCTGACTGTCCAGCACCATGGGACATCTTCCTGACATGAAAGGCGCTGTGCGAATGTAATTTATTGCTGTTGTATCTAAACCCAGATCGAGAATGTCACACATACGATGCCACGTAGCAAGATTTATTGTGGGCTGATTACCCATCCCTCCTTCCACACCCTTGAACCTGTCACCCCTCCTCTGTCTTCAACACGGTAACCTCCATGAAGTCCACCACCTGCTCCCTCGACCCCATCTCTACCCCTCTCCTTAAATCCCAGCTCCACCTCTTTGCCCAAATACTCGCCGACATCATTAACCTCTTCCTGTCATCTGGCACTGTTCCTTCCCCCCTCAAAACAGCCTCCTCGTCCTTCTTGACCTCTCTGCCGTCTTTAACACCATGGACCACTCAATCCGCCTCCACCGCTTCTCCTCCCACCTCAACCTTCAAGGTTCTGTCCTTGACTGGTTCAGGTCCTACCTTTCACACCACCTCCACTTCGCCGTGGCAAACGGCTTCTCCTCCAACCTCCGCACTGTCTCGTGCGGTGTTCTTCAGGGCTCTGTCCTCGGTCCCCTCCTCTTCACCCTCTACATGCCCCCCCTGAGTGACGTTATCCGCAAACATTGGGGTAAATTTCCACATGTATGTGGATGACACCCAACTCTACCTCTCTGCCTCCACCCTGAACTCCAGGACTAATGGTATCCTGACCAACTGCCCGTCCGACATCAGGTCCTGTACGAGGGCCAACTTTCTCCAACTCAACGTCAGCAAGACCGAGGCCCTCCTGATTGGCTCACACCAGCGTCTCCGCACCTCAGGCACTGGCAGCATCAGCCTCCATGGCTGCACACTCAACCTCACTAAGCCAGTCAGGAACCTGGATGTCTTGTTTGACCCTGAACTGTCTTTTCTCCCCCACATCCGCGCCATGACCAGCACCACCTACCACCATCTCCGCAACATTGCCAGACTCCGCCACTGCCTCACACCTCAGGCTGTCGAAACCCTCACCCATGCATTTGTTACCTCAAGGCTCGATTACTGGAACTCCCTCCTCATCGGCCTTTCCAACTCCTTCCTTCACAACCTGTAGATCATCCAAAACTCTGCAGCTCGTGTACTCTCGCGCACCAGGCTCCGTGACTCCATCACTCCCACCCTCGCCCGACTGGCTCCCCACCGCCCCAGAGGATCAAGTTCAAGATCCTCGTCCTCACCTTTAAGGCCATCCATGGCCTTGCTCCTTCCTACCTCTCTGACCTGCTGACTCCCTACCAACCTGCCCGCTCCCTCCGTTCATCGAGCTCCGGCTGCTCCATGTCTCCCACCCGACCCGCCCTACCATCAGTGGCCGGGCTTTCAGCCTCTCTGCCCCCACACTCTGGAACTCCATCCCACGGTCCCTTCACCTCACTTCCTCCCTTGCCTCCTTCAAGGCCGGTCTCAAGACCCTTCTCTTCGACCGTGCCTTTGGTCTCCCTCCCACCTCTCTGCCTTCCCTCACCCCTTCACCATCCCTCCCCCTTGATCGGGCCCCGACACCTGACTGTTCAGCGCTTTGGGACGTCCTCCCGACATGAAAGGTGCCTTATAAATGTAATTTTGTTGTTGTTGTTGTTGGTATTATACCCACCTGTTTTTTCTCAGGAAAGTGGACAGAAAAAACAAGCCTGTCTAACATCTGCTGATAGATAAGGTTGTGAGAGCTGCTAAACAGGTGATGATGAGCAAACACACCCAATAGTAATGCTAATGTCATAGGAGAGCAATTACGAACACAGCTTACACGTCGATACCATGAACGCTCACCTGGATTCATTGTTCTCACGGACAGAAAAGAAAATCTAGTAACTTGCCTCCTGTTTTTATTTCTGTGATCTTGTTACTTACTGATTTAATGATCAACGGCAATAGTCTCTCTCTCTATTTATTCTAACCAAACCATTCATATTTTGAAAATCTCCTTTAAATACCCATTAACTTTAGTGAATTCACTTTACAGTACATTCTGTGAAGCGCTTTGAGATGACTCAAATACGTGATAATGCAAGGATTATTATTATTATTATCTACATTATTCTAGCACTTCTCTTTTAAAGAAAACCATGGAAGAGGATGGACAAGGACTGGTAGGGGCGCTGGGGCTCATAGTGTCAGATTTATACAGTAAGTCTTATTTTAAGCACTTTATGCCACTACTGGTTGCAAATGAAAAATTGAACTATTGCAACACACACAAACACACAATTCGCAAAGCACCATGTGAAGGGTGGCTATAGAAATGCAAGTTGTTGTTGTATAAAGTAGAGCATGCTTCAGTATGCGTAAATAATGTATTCAGAAATTGTGAAAGAAGCAGTCATTTCCATTCATCCAATAAATTGTCCATCTGGCTGTTACCCAAGTGTTCTGCTCTGACAAGGCATGATTAATTCAGTACAGTTTTTGCTTAACTTGAAATTATTTTAAATTTAGCTATAATGATGAGGGAGTTTCACTGTTTCTCTGTAAAGTATCGGAGGTGCCACGACATCAAGAATAGGAAAGAAGAGTTAAAATGTATGAGGCTGTCTCAGACCAACACGGAACGTATTGGAACTGATTTACAGAGGCAGGATAAAGTTATTCAATTACAGAACTAATCTTTAGCCTAGTTTTTGTTCCTTGCTACACCTCTCTTCTTTGCACTCGAAGACATTTTGACTCAATTTTCTCTCTATTAGTGTCTCTACTGCCTTCTGCCACTCTGCCCCCACCTTCTAGAACTCCATCCCGCAGTCCCTCTGCCTTGCTCACTCCCTCACCACCTTCAAGACCCATCTCAAGACCCTCCTCTTCGACCGTGCTTTCGATCTCCCTGCTTCCCAAACTCCCCAATCCCGACCCCCAGCTTGGGTCCGTAGCCCTTTCTGTCCAGTGCCTTGGGACATCCTCCCGACGTGAAAGGCGCTATACACATGTAATTTTGTTGTTGTTGTTGTTGCTGTATTAGCATGCTACTGCTTCCTTCCTTTTAAGGTTCTGTGAGTATCTAATTGTTAATAATAATAACCTTTGCATTGATATTGCATCTTTCACATTGAGATGTGAAATCTCATAAGATTTCTTATAAGATTTCTCATAAAATGCTTCATAAGATTGTACGGTGAATTGTTGGGCCTGTATTTGTTGGCAAATGCAGTTGTCAATTAGTGCGCAGCAGAGTCCAACAAACAGCTGTGAAGTGAATGATCAATTTGAGCTGAAGTATTGTTGACCAGGACATTGAGAGAAACTCTCTTCCTTTTTTGAATAGTGGGATCTTTAACATCTACCTGAACAGGCAGACGGGACCTTAGTTGAATGTCTCATCCATAGGATGGGAACTTCAACAATTTGGCACCCACCCCCCCCCTTCTTCCCCCCAGCACTGCATTGGAGTGTCAAAGTTTGAAGCACTTTGAGACATCTCAATGACGTGATAAAGCGCTATATCAAATGCAAGATTTATTTTTTATTGAAGTTCCGATATGGAGCTTGAACGCACAATGGTGGGATTCAGAGTTGAGGGAAGGAGCTACCAACTGAGCCAAGCTGGCACCAAATGATTTGGCCTTCTATATTCATCTTAAAAATAAAATCTGGTGTATATATTAGCCCTCCCTCCCTCCTCCTCCGCCCTCCCTCCCTCCCTCCCTCCCGCCCCCGCCCGCCCTCCTCCTCCCCTCCCTCCCTCCCTCCGCCCGCCCTCCCTCCCTCCCCCGCCCTCTCCCTC